AATCCATCCATGATCTAGATCACATGATCTCACACTTGCATATTCCAAACCAGGCACACAAATGTAAAAGGCTTTATTAGTAAATGGTAGAACGCCAACAAAAGGTTCGTTATCGTCATAAACTTTATGAAGTAGATTTTCACCATGACAATTATTGAGTGTTACAAGCTTCTTTCCTGAATCATTCTCAGTGTAACATACACAAAGGTAAGGAAGAGCCTTATCCGATGTCATATTATTACAGGTACGTTAAGAACAGTCTCGTTCTGGTGTTTGACAATGGACACCTGTATACGAATAACTACCAGCACAATGATATGTATCAGCTGACGACAAATAAAAAAAAAGAGCACTATTTAGACAAGATTCCGAAGCACATCAAAATTCGGCTAGATATACAGCTTGGATTTGAGTAGGTGTGGATGCAAGTATTCTTTCCTTACACATTCACACTCACACCTTATTCAGCTTAGGTGTGCATTATTCTATTTGATGTATTTTGTTAGAAAGAAAATTTACACTCCTTCTTAAAAAAGTCGGAATGTTGCCGCAATCATCAGATGATCTGATGGATGTTTTGCATCAGGATAAGATACGCTGGTGGGATGATTTGGCAGTGGTAATACTTTCTCGACAGTGAGATGACCATCAAAAAATATGTAGTCAGTCGTGGCACAAAAGTCAGGACTATTTGGTGTAGAAGAAAAGGCTGTAAAAGCGGGTTCAGATCCATTCTTCTCTAAATAAGCACTTTTCAACACCTGTTCAGTATTTGGTTGATAGTGTATTGAATAAATGCTGGATTTTGGTAGGCGACCACGAATAAAACCTCTTTCTAATATTGCACGGTACGGAGTTTTCCAAGGTTTAGTATTGAAGTCCCCGGCCAGAATCATACTTTGACCATTTGCCAATCGAAACATCATGTCTTTCACCATAGATGAATGTATTATCATGACGTCTGGTCTTGTATAAAGACAAGGCATGTGATATGTTCCAATGCACAAATGTTTTCCACTGATGATGACTTGTACGAAGAGCAGTATATTCCTTTTTCTTACGGCAATTTGCCAAGGGTCAGATATAGGCTCTGCAGGTTTCTCCTTAAAGGCTCGCAATAGTATGTCTCTCAATGCAAAGATATGCGCACGCTTCTCTTTTATCAGTGAGTGTAATTCATCTCCAATGTTAATATTTGAAATAGAGTTAACTTTCATCGAATTCGGAATGGCTATGGCGACACCCATGTAATCATTATGTTTTTGACCATAGAGATTATAATACAAATTGTAATTCAATTGATGGAAAAATCTTTTAATTGAAGGTAACAGTGTGCGACAAAGTTCTTGTAAACAAATGATTGTATTTGCATTATGAGCGATTTCTTGTTTTAATTGATATTGAATCAAGTTCCAGCGATAGTCCATATCAAGAAATCGTGGTTGGCATTTATAATAATATCCTGGCTGTTCAGCGAGAACAGGCACCAATAGATTATATGACACGACATGCACAGTCATGAAAACGTTACCAGAATATTTTCAAAATTGAGTCGAACGAAAAACTTACTTCACGACGAGCAAAGCACAAAGAGTATGTCAAAGAACAACGTGGGTAATAAAATGAGTCGAAGAGAAACGAAAGAAAAATGTGTTTGTGATTATGCGAAGGTATGAATAAAAGAACAAAATATCAAAAGTAGTCTACAAGGCAGTGCAAAAAAGTGGGAAGCGAGGCACGCATTTGATGACTTAGAAACAAACATGATAAAGAACTTAAGAGCCCCCCTCAGAAAATCGAGTTTTCAGGGAAATATCGAAGTTGAGTTTTTATTATAGGAAGATGCAGCGAAGCTTCCTCTATCAGAATATCTATAGATTTTTTGAAAATGATCAGATTTTCAAAGACTTATCACGTGAAACTTAAAATCTACTACCATGTTTTCGGAGAAATTTTTGTGGTTTTTAAAGGTTTTCAGTTTTAGAAAATTTGTGTTCGGAATATTTTCATATATTAATCGGCATGTCAGATGACGTTAGCTTACTGCATCGATTACGTGCTTTTAAAAAGTTCTATGAAATATATTGGAAATATGCTATTTCCCAGGTCAAGCTCGGTACGTCGGAACCGATCGGTTCCGTTGAATTCCGATGATTTCTTTACCACAGGATTCCGGTCCAGATTGCGTCGGACCAGTTCCGATCAGTTTCCATCGGTTCCGTCGATTTCCGACGAATTCCTGGTCGAAATTTTGCGGAACTTAACGGAATTTTTCCGGCGGAACCTGGACCGGAATCCTGTAGTCAAGAAATCGTCGGAAGTCAACGGAGCCGACAGAAAACCAACGGAATCTATAGGATCCGCTGCCGGAAAACAAAGGAAACAAACGGTTCCGACGATCGGAACAGTGGACCTGGGTTGAATGTGTTTTTTTCGAATTTGAACGAAAAACCCATTTCTAAAACTTCTTTAGCGTTTTTCTCAAAATATGGTTTGCAATCAGAAAAATTGAAGCTCCTCCGTCATATCTCGAGCTATATCCAATATTTTTTTTGTTCTGTTTTAAAGATCTCAACAAGAGTAAACTTTTCATCAACCAGTTATTTTAAATTTGATTCCTGGGCTGAGAAAAGTAGAATTTACTGTCGTCGGATCACAGCTTTTTATGTTTCTTTTAAGACATGTCGACTAAAATATTCATAAAAAATGAACAATATAGAATTTAAAAATTCTGGATGATGAAAAGTTGCATACTGACATTGGCTTTAATTTGAAATCAGCCCAAGGTCTATATCTCATCTTATGGCAAAGTTATATCGATTTTCCTGAAGGCCAAAAATGACCTGTGAATCAGCTAGAAATCCGATCTAGTACGACCAATCGAGCTGAAATTTTTACCAGAAGCGTATCTCTCCAAGATTACTCATCCCTGAAAATTTCAGCACAAACGGCTCATTTTAAGTGGAAAATCGTTTTTGAGGGGGGGGGGGGGGGCTTAGCTACAGTGGCATGTTGTACTAGCAGTCAAAGAATAGTCGATATAGAGCGTGGACATAGGTGGGTGTAGATGGGGTTGGATCTGGTGGCCAGCTAGAAACACTATTCTGCTCGGAAGGATCGGAATGAATATAGTATTCTTAAAGAAAGCAATCGGAGCTCATGTGTTTCCTGAGAAAAACAGTTAGTATTTCCCGTTACGACGAAAGACCGTTAAAACTTCTTTCTCAAAAACAACTTGAAAGACCTCCGAGAATCATTCTAGAATAGTAACTGCTGCGACGAAACTACACCCCACACCCTCAAACACGTTCCAGAAGTGTTAAATTACATAAATCGGCATTCAATTCGTTCACTGCGATTACAGAAATTTGGGAGTACTGCCAATGGGAGGTGCTACTATTTACTTTGAAAAAATTCATAATATTCTATGAATAGAGACAAAATTGCCATACAGAACGCTATTGGACCCTATTGGGGTGTGGGTGTGGGTGTATGTGTGGGTGTGGGTGTGGGTGTGTGGGTGTGGGTGTGGGTGTGTGGGTGTGGGTGTGGGTGTGTGGGTGTGGGTGTGGGTGTGGGCGTGGGTGTGTGGGTGTGAGTGTGGGTGGGTGCGGGTGTGGGTGTAGGTGTGGGTGTGGGTGTGTGGGTGTGGATGTGGGTGTGGGTGTGGGTGTGAGTGTGGGTGTGGATGTGGGCGTGGGTGTGGGTGTGGTGTGGGTGAGGATGGATGCGTGTGGAGTGTCAGTATTTTTCTTCTAATCGCGACGCGCATTCCACGCCCACACCCACACCCACACCCACACCCACACCCCACACCCGCACCCACACCTACACCCAACACCCACCCACACCCTTACTCAATCGACATATATACCAAACAGTGTTTGTGCTTATTCAGTCGATACTTTAAGCAGCATACAATGCATGAACTGAATTTGGCCACCCGAATAGGATTTTTTATGAATTTTTCAGCAGTTGTTGGATTCTTTTATTAGAAGATATATAAGTCTGTAAAGATGAAGCACGAAAAACTTCAGCACAGGAACATGAAGCACAAAAAATAAGGGTGTATGTATGTATTCCTTCCAACGGCATCCAATACCTTACATCTACACCGATATCCAATAAAGGAATGCTCATAAGGAGAAAAAATTGAATATATTACTTTTTGAGAGGCGCATAATCTAGGTGAATTAAGAAAACAACTCGACACTCTTTTTTGAGATAATGTGTAATGTCCCAAAATATTTTATCTGCAACTAGAATCACGACAACAATATTTATTTGTGAATTTTGTCGAAATTATTTTCTTCCAGATCCACTTAAATCTACAGAATACATCAAGTCATTATTAATTATACTATCAATGATATTAATGAAAGAGTACTTATGACAGAATGGAGGTTTCGGTATGAGTCTAGATCGATGATGAAATGGTCATACTAACATTAACAGGTAAACCTTTTGGTCGAATTAATTTTAACAAACTCCATTACTCTTATTTCAAAACAATACTTTGTCTGAAGATATTTTGCCAACAAGAAGTTTCTATAGTGGTGATGTCTTTCTCGAGAACAACAAAATAAAGACAATTTTTTTATTAGAAAAATGAAATCTAAATAAAAGTCATTCATAATTTAGAAGAAAGAGGCGAAGAAAATGGAATCATTAGTGAGCTAAAATAGTTCTATTGTTAAATCGTTCTCACAGATAAGCTTGTTCATCAAAAATGATTTTCATTCTGGATTTATTTGTTATGGTTGATACAGCTCCGAAGAGCTAATTCCAACTCCACCTGCAACTAATACTTTTCCATTCGATAGCACGCATGCTGTGTGAGCATGTCGAGCATAACTCAAACTTCCAGTAATCGTCCACGCACCTGTTGATGAGTCGTACAATTCAGCACTATTTAAAATAGTACTAACAACATCATATCCAGCAGTGACTAATACTTTGCCATTGGTTAACACAATTGCTTTGTGATGATATCGAGAATAACTCATACTTCCAGTGATTGTCCAAAGACCTGTTGATGGATCATATAATTCAGCAGTATTTATATCACCCCCATTATATCCACCAGTGACTAAAACTTTTCCATTTGCTAAGACAGATGCTGTATGAATATATCGAACATAACTCAGACTACCAGTAACTGTCCACAGGCCTGTTGATGAGTTATACAACTCAGCAGTATTTAAATAACCATTAGTGGCAGAATATCCACCTGTGACTAGTACGTTTCCACTTGCTAACATAGATGCTGTGGGAAAGTATCGAGTATCACTCATACTTCCGGTAAGTGTCCACACGCCTGTTGATGGATCATATAACTCAGCAGTATTTAAATAAGCTCCATTATATCCGCCAGCGACTAACACTTTTCCATTTGCTAACACTGATGCTACATGAAGATACCGAGCATAAGTCATACTTCCAGTGACTGTCCACACTCCTGTCGATGGATCATACAACTCAGCACTATTTAGATAAGCATTAGTGGTAGAATATCCCCCCGCAACTAATACTTTTCCGTTGGTTAATAATGATGCTGTGTGAATATATCGAGTGACACTCATACTCCCAGTGATTGTCCACATCCATGTTACTGGATCGTACAACTCAGCAGTACTTAAGGCAGCAAGAGATGTAGAATATCCACCGGCAATTAAAACTTTTCCATTAGTCAACACAGTTGCAGTGTGATAATATCGATCATAACTCATACTTCCAGTAAACGCCCATCCTGCAAGCAAATACTTATTCTATTCATTTTATGAGCAACAAACATGTATCATTCATTTCTCAACGGGCTATAGTCAAGTCACTCGTGTGAAACCTGTCTATGTTGATCAAAACGGACAACATTGCGACGCTGTTTACAAGTGTAAGCGACTGGCTTACAGTATAATTACGGTCATTTACAGCCATAAATATACCGTTATTCTATATTTTACTTCTGCTCTTGACGCCGTGTTTTATACTTTCGAGGTCTATGGACTATTCTCCGATATTTAAGTCTTTTTTATTTTGGCGTCAGATCTGTGCTCTTCATTAAAAATTACTAGATGAGAAAGATGGCCATAAGAGTAAAAGAAAAAGAAAAACATCAAAGAAATATTTGCTTTTTATTGAAATGTTTATCAATAATTGCATAAATGGATAATGTAGAAAGAAAATCAAAGCAGAATACTAAGAATCTAACAATCAAAAGTTTTATATAGTTTTTCAAAAAGTAATAAGTCTAAATATTGAAAGGTAAACAATTTCATATTAAGAAGATATAAAAGAATTTGTTATCTTATTTTGCTAGACGAAAAGAGAAAATTAATAAGGTCATAGTGCCAGCCAGCACACTTCCTCACTGCCGAAAAAGTAAAGAATCAAAAGCTCGGAAAAGATTCAAATGCATTATTCACTTAAACATATTTTAATTCTTTAGATATTTTTGTTTGGAACAGGTGAATAGAAACAAAGAAAAAGAAAAACTTGATAAATGTGAAAAGTATGTCTTCTTATCATTTGACACTGTTGTACAGGTACGACTCAAATCTGGAGTGGCAGCGACATTTCACGAAACTGTAGAAATTAAAAAGCACCATTTTTTTATAGGACTCTTCTAAACTATGTAGGACACTGAGAGTGTATAGTGTGGGTGAAAATAAGACCAGAAGCCACTCGCATCCGCTCTTTCTGATATTTTGGCGTTTTTTATTTTGTGGTTTTCTTCTTCAGTATCGGTTCACGAAGTTTAGAAATTAAATAAAAAAAAATACAGTACTTTAGCGGAATATTGTAATATATCTTGAATCGAATCAAGTTCATTTCTAAAAATTCGCTATCGTTATTTTGTTTCTCTTTATTTTCGCAATTGTCCGATTGAGTTGGCGTTAATTTCGTAAACTCAAGTGGGTCTAAAAAATTTATTCGAATGGCAAAGTTGGCAACTGTTCTTAAAGTAAGAACAAGGCGTTTGATCTGATGTAATAAAGTCATTATTTATTGGCACTCTCATTCATACATGATGGACAATAGTGGTTAGAATACTTAAGCTGTGTGATGGGCATTTACTTAGAGAAGTTATGTAATTCCTTTATGAAGAATTTTTTCCTTTTCGCAAGTTTTAGGAATATAAGATAAAGTCTCTAAATAAATTCTACTATAGAGTAATAGTAAGAGTTACCATTAATTTACTCTGTACGAGTGACGGATACATGGCTAGTTGTCTGATAACATAAATGTGTGGTAACCGTTGCTTACCATTCTATTACCGGATCAACTTCGAAAATATAGAAAATATAGGGCGACTGCGAACCTAGACTTAGATATGTAACGTTTACGGTGGCCGCTACACTGCTGTTTAGGACTCTTCGTAAGAGGCTATCGTACATGTTATCATACTTCATCGTATCAAAATTGTATAGGATCATTTGTTGCTTATGGATCAGTTTATCCGGTCTGAGTGAGAGCTAATTTTAACTGAACAAATTTTCTTCAAATTTCAAGTTTTAAATATATTTTCTGACTTGCTGATGTTTTCCATAGGTTCTCAGTAAGTGAGACCCCCTGCTTTTCAGTTTTTAGACCTTGAAACTCAGCTTGCACGTGTAGTATGTATGAACTGATGATTGATAGAGGATAGTTTTTTATTTGTGAAACCAATGTCTAGTTGTTATTGTCGGTCATCCAATGATCTGTGTAACCCGAAAGAATTTATGTCTTTGAAATCTAATATTTGCCGACAGTATCTTGCTCTTGTGAAATTCACATAGATTTTCGAAGAAAATAGTCAACATATATCTTAGATCGAAGTTCTCTGGCTTCCTGCCTCTCATTCACTTTTTTACAGATGGTTCCCATTTCAGACCTTAGCAACATTTTAAAGGGAGTTCTGAGGAATGTCTTATTTAGAAACTCTGAAATTTTTTGAAAATTTCCAAAACACTTGAAAAATTTCCAGAAATCGTTGCTCCCCAGAATTTTTTTCTTTTTAGGACACAGCTGATGGTTAGGTATTTTAGTTTACGAAAAATATGCAAGCTTCACATTTCAGCCCCAAAGGAGCTGCGCTAACAAGGCTTTTTCAGAAAATATGCTAGAATTTAAAAAGATATAAAACACTTTCAATTCTTTGGGTACAGAGAATGATATGCGCCGATCCGATGCGAAAACGATAATCTGACTCATTAAGAGCTTTTTTACATAAAACATTATTATGGTGAGAAGAATTCTTGCTAAAACACTCAAGTACGGTGAATGGAAATGGTACATACCAGGCATTTGTGTTGAGGTGGTTGTAGAAGTTGTAGCTGATGTTGAAGTCGTTGTTGTTGTTGTTGTTCTCGATGTTGTTGTTGACGTTGTTGTTGTTGTTGTTGTCGTTGTTGTTGTTGATGTTGTTGTTGTTGTTGTTGTTGTCGATGTTGTTGTTGTAGTTGTTGTAGTTGTTGTTGAAGTTGTCGATGTTGTGGTCGTGGTTGTTGTGGTGGTTGTTGAAGTTGTCGATGTTGTTGTTGTGGTTGTTGTTGTTGTTGTTGTCGTTGTGGTTGTTGTTGTTGTTGATGTTGTTGCCGTTGTTGTTGTGGCTGTTGTTGAAGTTGTCGAGGTAGTTGTACCTGTGAATCAGATTTTTAGTTAAATTTCTTTAGCATTCAACACAGGAAGGGATCAGTGAATTTCGAAGAAATAGAACTCTAGAAATCCCGATGATCGAAGGGATACGTAGTCTAGAAACGCAATTAAAACTTTGGATATGTTTATTTCCTATGCATTACGAGCTTTACTATACTTTTTAAATGCTATTTGATTCATCGAGCTACTAAAATAGCACAGATTTATTGGCAATAAGGCAGAAATTACAAAAAAAAAGAGAAAATTAGGACACTGAAAATCGAAATAGGGAAAAGTCAAAATCTCGAAGTTTCAAGACATGGAAACCCAGATCAAACGATATTGTCTGTATATGACCATTACCAGTAACTTTACAACGTATTAGTGGATAACACACGGCCGTAGTATCCGGCCTACGAAAACGACTCTGTCATAATTGTCTTACCGCATGTATACGACCGTAAATAATGAGATGGATGTGGATGTGAGTGTACAGCAGACTTATATCCATCCGCAAACCTACATCTATGCTACGCATACTTATCTGCACCCACACCTACCCAAATCCTTATAAGCGAACTTCCGAAATTTACCAGCCCCATTGGTTGGGAACCTAACCCTAAAGCAAATGATTGACTGAATCCGCCGTCCTCGACAGCTTACTAGTCGAAAGTCGGACCCAAAAATGTGCTTGACAGATTCAGCGGACCCGTGAAGTCTATTTTTCGAGAGTCAGACCCTAAAGAAACATGATTAGAAGAATCTGCTCTCTTTTGAAGCCTTCCACTCAAAAGCTATGCCTATAAATCACAGTTCTCAAAAGCCTATTAGCGAGAGTCAAGCTCAAAAATTGTTTGACTGGTGGAATGCCCGGTCTTCGGAAGCCTGGTGGTCGAAAGTCAGAACGAAAAAACCTGCGATTGGCTGAATTCGTTTTCGATAGGAGCCGATCGGTCGAGAATTACACCTAGATAACATTTGGTTGGCTAAAATTTGTAGCGAGAAGGCGAATTTCATGTTAGATTTTATGACTGAAGAACAGTGGGAGGGTCTAGACAAACATGTTTTTGTTTTGCTGTCAAGAAACAATATACGAGCAAAGGTAACCAACTCGTCCGACTTATGACCCTCTTTTCAGTAGAGAAAGTCATTAACTATTTAAGTTTGAAATGATATCTGAGACATTCATCTTGCTTACTATTGGTGACATCGCTGATATAATACTTTTTTTAAGATGAAAATGTGTGTGGGTGCATGCTGTCACAAAATTTAATACTAATGAAGAATTTAGAAATGAATCATTTATTCGACATGATTGTGAGTAGAAGATGAAATTGTCAAAGCCCTGCTTTAACAACATTAGCATAATTTCAGATTACATAAGAAGTTCTGAGATGCATTCAAATGAAGCAGCAAAAATGTTTCACTGAAAGCTGCTGATGTTATACGTATCAATTGTAATCGAAAAAGAACGAAATTCAGTCTTCGCTACAGCGTCTAAACAAAAACAAACAATCGAGCAATGCATGATTTATTTTCAGGTACAAAAAAGAAGCCCTACTTCTTTTAATTAAAGTCTAAATTTATTCTAAATATTCTTCTCGTTATGATACAATTCTCCTTACTGCTTTTGAATTCATAGATGAAAAACATATTTACTCAATGGATATATCAAGAAACCATCAGATTTTAATTTTTATTGAATATTTATAAAATCTACAGATGACAAAAAGATTGTATCGCCACAACAAACATTGGCTTCGTATTGTTGCAGTCATTAATCAGAGAAATTTTTCAAATAACTTAGCTAATATCTATATAAATTCCTTTAAACAAATACGTAATTTTAGTCGAAGTTCTTTGAGCAAGTTGAAAATTTACACTTGTATGCTTCTTGATAGATCTGAGGAAGAAAACGAGGAGTTCATTGTTGAAAAAAACATCAAACAGCTAATGACATCCGTTATTCTTTGGTGTTATTCGGATTTAAGAAGCTTTAAATATTGTAAATGCGAGTGGAACTAATAAAATAATAGGTTTTTCAACATTGAAGGACTGCTTCAAACAATAATTGTTAGTGATGTATGGATGAAACTCTCTCGCAGAGGAATTACTAAACTTACTTTGTGGTGCTGATGTGCACCAAAGTGTGATTACAACAGCCAATATTACACCAGCTGCAAGTGCACCTAATAATAGACCGTAAAAGCATGATGATAATGATTTCAAATATTGTGATAGTTTGCTTGATACTATCCAACTAAAAACATAGTAAGCTAATCAATTTGGAAATTCAATAAAATATCAATGCTTCTCACTTCTTGTTGTTTTTCTCATCGAATTGGCATTCGTTAGTATCGACAGAAAAAGCATCATTCAAAAAGATTTTGTTGTTGCTTAATGTGTTCGATCCATATTGACGAAAAGATGGGTTACTTTCTTCTCTTGTCCACTCGCTCCTTTGTAGACATTGAGACGCCATTATAATTTTCGTGTATTTATTATTAGCGATGAATGTAGTAGTGAAAGAAATGAATTTCAGTTCTTCTCGCACAAAAAAAACATATGTATGTTATATATATTGCAATCTGAAGCATTCATAAGGCATCGTACAATTTTCAAAGCTGTGTTGATGACAACAACAAGAACATCATGTATAATACTATAATTCAGGATATGGCTGTGATAGTGAGCATGGGTGTGGGTGTTGGTGTAGATCGAAGGATATTAGTGAATAAGATACTTTGACCGACATTCACACCCAAAATATGCTACCACCGGCATTAAACATCATGGATAAACTACAATTTCGTAAAGAATCAAGTAACGAAGTGAATGATGAATATTCTGAACAATGGAGTTACATCATAAGAAAATAAAATTATATTTGAAATCAATAATGAGAACAG